TGGCGATACAGGACTCTGGGGACAATTAGAACTTGGACACAAAAGTCAGTAGAATGATCGAATTTGTCAAGGAATACACATGGGCTTACCCCGGATCGTTGACAGACCCACATTCCCAATGCAGCTAGGATCACCCAGTGGAACTTCCCTCCCTTAAGTTTGATGAATTCCCGGCAGATGTTGCCCATCTGCTTTGCCAGGGTTGCATTGCCAAAGCATTTGCCTTGGCCTGTAACCTGACTTAGGGTAATGCCTCTCCGGGGAGTGTCCCATCTGCATTGGCGTGGATTGTCTGACTTTGAGAAGATGAATGGGAGATCGAGGGCAACACCTTCGTAAAAAGGGGGTTGTGCATCATAGCATAACCAGCATGATTCTGTGAAGTTTGGGTTGGATTGGTTTAATGATAAGAAGGTAGCATTTAACATGGTTAAGAATGGATTGGAGGGGGTTGGTTTGGCTAAGGGATCGGATGGGGAGGTAAGTTTTGGCATCTGTGTTTTGCGGCTAGGACTACCGTTAGCTGTGATCCCCTTCCTGGGTCTACTCATTGCTAGAACCGGATTGGGTCCAACTGATTGGGATATTGGAGCTGGGAGTCTGATAATTTGTATGTTCGTCCAGATGTGGTGAGAGAGATGAACAAACGCTGTCCACACTTTGCCCGTGGCCCAGCCCTCATGGGTCGGCTGCAGGATTGTCATTATATAGCCTGTGCAGGTGTGCTGTTTTCTGCCTTGGGGCGAAAGCACATACCCCTCCATGTTGCAGTGTGTTGTTATAGCCTCTTTTAAACTTCCGGGTCCTTTCCCCAGGTGTGCCAATACCCCTCTTCCCCTTCCCCCCTCGCCCCCTACTGGGCTGTCAATCAGGCTTAACATTCCAGCAAAGTGTCGTGTGGTTCTTCACTTTCAAAGGATGCCCCTCAGGCCCAAAGTTCATTGGTCTGTCTGGGTGTCATCCTGCCCTGCGACCCCGCCCCTCCCACCTGGTTGGTGGCTCACCTGTGCCCTCCCCTCCCCCTGCCCCAGGAGGTTAAAATGTGAATCAGCCCATGCGGTCGCTATTCTGTTGGAGCTGTTACTTACATTCAGACCTCTGTGACCATGGAATAAAACTCTGGATATAACCCTCCAGCAGAATCCATCTCCTTTGTCTTCACCTTCGCCTGAAGCATTCTTCCTGAGGTAAACGGAGTTCGTAACAAGCCTGGACTTGTTCGGCTGCCTAGCTGAAACCACCAGCAAGCTAAAGGTGTCTCTGGGGTGATACACCCCAGCTGCCGCCTTGGGCCCAGCAGCAAGGGTCAGACTGGCCCATGCACAATATACCTGGTAATATTGGGATTCATATTCCAATACCTCCATATCAAATTTTGGTTCGAGGCAGCCATGGGGAGTATACTTAATTTGCAGGAACTTATCAGGCTGTTGTGGTTTCCATCTATTGCTTTTCACAATAGTTTCACAACCCCAATATCCACACCCTGGGTAATTACAATAACTTTTTCCTGGGTTGGAAGCAGGACACCAGTAGGTCTGAAATAATGTCGTCTCCTGAAATCTCGGGTGCCCTGTATGCAAGGGAAACATGTCTTTTAGCCTGAACTCGAAAGATGGAGTGTCAGCTGTAACAATTTCTTTGACGACCCCTTCACCTGAGAGATGGCATAGAACCCACCTGAATGGCTGGTGAGGGTAATGTTTTGTGTCTGCCTGTCCTCCGNAAACAGGGAAGCCTTATAAATATGAATGTTTGGCAAAAGAATTTGGGAATATAGAAACTATAAGCAAGTTTGAGATGAAAGCAAGCTTTGGGATACATTACTTACTGAACAACTGGAAAACAATGGTGTGGCTGACTGAAGGTAGTCTGCTTTTGATGAAGCAATTCCCTCTGCTTGCAGCGTGATCCAAGGGTCAGAGCAGACCCTACTAGCTTAGCACATTGGTCCAAAGTGTAGTTTTTAGGGCTTAAAATGTAACACAGTGTGGTGATGTAATGCTTCTTAAAGGCTGTATGTAAATGCTATAGGATTTGTATCTTGTACTAGATTGGTTAGTGAGAAATAGAATATTCAACAGAGAAAAAGATTTATTGTATTTTAATGGGAACCTTACTCTCTTACACTCTTACCCTCTTCCTATCTCATCCTCTCATGCTCTCTACCCCTCTTTTCTCTCGGGCCTGCTCCAAGCTGTGGCTGGCAGCTCCAAGCAGGGCCCTGCACCCAGGCCCTTTGCAATAAACCGCAAGTTCCATGACCTGGCTTCAGAGATCTCTCGTCTCCGTCCGTCCTGACCTTGCTACCCCGCAACACTCCTACAAACGTGCTCATCCCTTGTTTTCCCCAATCCAGGATTTCCCATTGCCAACCCCTGGGAGGTGGTGAGGAAGAGGAAGATGCCGCAGGACTCTGAGGCAGGTGAGGAGGAAGTCAGTGCCCCATTTCCCCTCTGTGCTGCTCCATCTCCCAGCCCAGCACAGCCCCGGCTGCAGCACAGCCCTGGGGGGATCTCCTTGCCCTTGCCTGTGGCACGGAGGCAAATCCCATCCTGTCCTTGTCCTTCCTCCCCCAGAGCAGGAGCTGAGCATGGAGAGCAGGGAGGACAAATGCCCGCGGCAGAACCTGGTGG